AAATAAATAAATAAATAAATAAATAAATAAATAAATAAATAAATAAATAAATAAATTCTCCCCTTCAGGGGTGCCTGGGTGGCTCAGTCGGTCGAGGATCCAACTCTCAGTCTTGGCTCAGATCATGATCTCATAGTTTGTGGGTCTGAGCCCCACCTCAGGCTCTCTGCTGACAGTGTGGAGCCTGCTTAGAATTCTCTCTCTCTCTCTTTCTCTCTCTCTCTCTGCCCCTCCCCAGCTCATGCCCACCCTCTCTCCAAATAAATAAACTTAAAAAAAAAACTCCCCTTGGGGTGTCTGGGTGGCTCAGTCAGTCAAGCATCTGACTTCAGCTCAGGTCATGATCTCACGGTTCATGAGTTTGAGCCCTACATCAGGCTCTGTACTGACAGCTCAGAGCCCGGAGCCTGCTTTGGATTCTGTGTCTTCCTGTCTCTGCCCCACCCCCGCTCACCTCTGTCTCTCTCTCTCTCAAAAATAAATAACCATTAAAAACAAAATCCCCTTCATGCTTATTTTGAGTTTTTGAGGAGACTAAAGTAGGTGACAAGAATCACAATACTTGCTTCTCTTGAGCCATAATTCGTAAGGTTTTACATCACTGATCAGCCACAAGAGTAGAAATTTTGCTTTCATATTTATTACAACAAATTTGGCACTGGCATCACACTTAGATTTTTTAACTTATATTAAAAGCAGTGCCTTTGATTCAGTAGAGTTGTATTTTATCTGGCAGTTTTTCAGTAATGTATGGTTTTAGTTCAAAAACAGTTTTTAGGAGCTTTTACCGTGAACAGAGCACTTTGACAGGCATTGGGAGGCCTACAGAAAGGTTTATGATTGGTTCCTGACTCCCAAGGATCTCATGATGGAGACACCAAGAGATAAATACCTGGAAACCAAGCATGATGTGCAGGTGCTCATAGAGGAGTCTGAACGAAGTACTATGGAAAAGAAAGGAAGAACTTAAATCTGATGAGGGAAAGGATTGGGGAGGAGCTTATGTTTTAGCTGGGCCTCGGAGGGTGAGTAGAGTGTCAATAGTTGTGGAGAGATAATTCACATAATGGCAAATGTCCCTAGGGTTTAGAGTTCACAGTGGTTGGGATGCAGTAAGGATGAAACCAGAAGATAAGTGAAAATTGTGGAGGGTCTTAACCGCCAAGCTATGGAGTTTGACCTTTATTCTCTGGGCAGTGGGAAGCCACTAAAAGTTCTTTGGGAAGACAGTGATGTCCAGTCTGAATTTTAGAAAGACTGCTCCAGTGGCAGTGTGGATGATAGATGGAAGAGGTTAGGCTAGAGGCCAGGAGACTTGTTGTAAGGACTTTACAATAGTGTTATAAAGAGGTAATGAATTCTATGGCAAGGCTTGTTGGCTGGCCAAACCAACTGCCATTGCCAAGTCCCTTCTCCATTGCCTGAGACCACAATGGATGCTAGAAAAGCTACATCATCTCTGCCTCCTTTTTTCTCTCCCTCCCTTCACCTAATAGATACTAACTGATTGCTGTTTACCAGGCACTGGGGATACTCCAGGGAACAAGACAAAGTTCCTACTCTCACGGTGCTCACAATCTGGTGGGGAGAGATAGACAATAAACTGAGAAATAGATACATAGTAAGTCGGGTGGTGATGCATTATGAAGAAGAAAACCAAAGCATGGTAAGAAGATAGAGCAATGGAAAGGGAGACATGCTGCTATTTTTAGCTAGGAAGTCAGGGACGGCCTTTCTGATAAAGTGACACTTGAGAAAGACCTGAATGAAATGATGTGTAAGCCTCAAACCTATCTTGGAGAAGAATGTTCCAAGCAGATGGAACAGTGTGTGCAAAGCCCAGAGGAGGGAATCTCTTAAAATACTTAAAGAAGAGCAAGAAGGCCAAAGAGACTGATGTGAACTAGGGAGGAAGTAGTGGTGGATGAATCAGAGAAGTTGCCTGAATTTGATCATATTAGGCTTTTATCAATCAAAGTCGGGACTTGGAATTTCATCATGAGTAAAGATCGGAAGTCATTGGAGGGTTTTGAGAAGAACAGTGACATGATGTGACTTGCCATTTTAAAGGATGCTGTATGGAAAACAGATGGTGTAGAAGTGGAATGGAAGCAGAGAGACAGTTAGGAGGTTATGACAGTAGTCCAGGTGATGTGGATGGTCGTGTGGGCCAAGGCATGGTGGTGTGAGAAGTGATAGGGTTCTAGACATCTTTTGAAGGAAAAGCTGTAGTTAGCCTTGATTTGCTGATAGATTGTTGGGAGGAGTAGAAATAGAGAGGGATGAATTTGCCATTGGTTGTATGGGAGAAGACTAGAAGAGAAGAAATTTGTAGGGGATGATCATGAGTTTGGATGTGGGCATGTTAAGTTTGAGATGTCACTTAGACATTCAAGTGGAAGTGTTCAGAACTCAGCTAACTGTAGAAGTCTGGGGTTCAGAGGAGAGGTCCAGAGTAGAAATATAAATGAGGAGTTGTCAGTATTTAGTTAAGCTGTGACACTGCATGGGGTCACCTGGGAGAGTATAGATAGAAAAGAGACCCACGACCTGACCCCTGGAACACTACAATGATTAGAGGTCCAGGTGATGAAGGGGAATCAGCACAGGAGACCAAAAAGCATCAGGAAAAAAGCCCTGGGGAGGACAAAGCAAGAATAGAATCCAGGAAGCCAAGAGAAGGGAGTAGTTTGAAGGGGAAAGAAGGATTGTCTGTGTCAAATACACAAAGTTTGTGCTGGAGTCGTGCAACAAGTCTCTGTTTTCCCTCCAGGAGCTCTTTGTACTTCAGAGGTACAGAGAAACAGAGGGTTGGATTTCAGCCTGGGTAGGAAAGAAGGTTGAGGGGATGTGGATGAGTTATCTATTGCTCCACAATAAGCTACTCCACAGCTTAGCAGCTTAAAATAGCAGCCTTTTATTTAGCTCCTGATTTTTGGTGGGTCAGAAGTTTGGGCTCAGCTCAGGGTGGTGGTTCTGGGCTAAGATGGGCTTGGCTAATCTCAGCTGGGCTCACTCATGTGTCTGTAGTCAGGTGGTAGGTTGGCCAGGCTGGCTTGTTGGTGATAACCTTGTCTGGGGTGGTCAGGTAACTGGGGCTACATGGTCTCTCATCCTCCAGCAGGCCAGCTCTGGATTTCTCGCAGGTTGTCTCACAGGGTGTTCCATGTACCACAAGAAAACAAGCCCCCAGGGGCAACACTTCTCAAATCTTTGCTTGTGTCAAGTTCACTACTGTCCTGTTGGCCAAAATAAGACACATGGTCTAGTCCAGAGTCAGTGTGGGAGGAGGCTACCAAAGCTTGGTTACAGGGAGGTGAGAATAAATTGGGATCAGAACTGCAAGAGTCTGCCTCAGCATGAAGAGTTGAAACATATGAAGCAATAGATTATTTATCTGAGTTGACTGGCAAGTAGGATTACTTGCAGTAATTATTCTCATTATGATCTTTGCCAAATACAATACAGGCATGTTAAAAACATATTTATCACCTATTAGAGGACACTGAAAAGAGGTAAATAGAATTACTAAAATGAGAATATTAACATAGCACTGCTGGGAAGAATAAAAATTATTTTCTACCCATTCTAGTTGAATGATTTAAATTATGTAAGGATTTCTTTAAAAATGGTCTTTTTTTTTTTTTTTTTTTTTTTTTTTTTTAGAACAAGCATTTCTTCTTGAATTAGCAAGGACTCTACTTTTGGTAAACAAACTCAATTACTTACCCCCAGAATTTTATTAGGAAATATGGGCTTATGAAACAAATATAGATAAAGAAAACAGTGTCTATGCAGCTGAATGATTTCTACATTTGCTTCATAATGTTACCATAAAAACAGAAATTTACTAAGGGCTGTATCATTGCCAAAGCTATGCGAGAAACCTCACCTCTGTTCCAGTTCAGCTGACCACGGGAGTCCAATTCATTTGGGAAGATATTAAGATGCTGAAACCAAAACCAAACCCACGTTGCATTTATTTTTCTGGCGTTTCCGTCTTGCCACATCAGTCTCCTCATTCCTGCTGGTTGTGGCCTGCATAACCTCTCAGAATGGGTCTGTTAGGTGATCCGAAAAGTTTTGCAAGTGAAAAATAGGAGAAACCAGTGATTTGATGGTCATTAAGGTATCTCAGTTTTTAAAAATGGTTTTCAAACTGAAATCTGAGGATTCAGCCACTCGCAGATAATCAGATAGGTGTTGCAGGTCCTTTTCCTCTCACTAAGGCTCCTGGGGATGCTCTTTCGTTGGCCTGTGACTGGGACTAATGGGCAAAGATAGAGAATCAACCTCATAGGGACAGCCATGGGCAATGGGTACTTTAATTCAGTGATTGGCCATAATTGTTCAGCAATTGATTAATCCCCACCTCCATGACTCTTCATCCGGACTCCATGTACACCCATATCCCCAGAAGGGGGGGAGGGGAACTGTTGAGTTCAGTAGCCTAAAACTATGGCCTCACAAGGGGCACTTTCTTGCTCTCAGAAACAGTTTTGTTACTGTCATGTGAGTGGACACATACACAAATCTCACCTTATGTTTTTGACCAGAAGTTTGGGTTGATGGCTCCATGTAAACATAAGTTCATAAGTGGATGAAAGAGTGAAGCAGAGTTGGAGTTTCTCCCCAGAAATGTGTTCATTCATACCTTTCCCTGGAGTTGAGAGGAACAGCCAGAAAATTGTTTCAGGATCAAATGAAGGAAAGACTATGCAAATGATACAAACACTGTTAAGTATATCATGAACGTGAAAATGGGTTATAAGAAGCCTTTCCCCTTTCTTCCTTTCTGGACCTCAATGAAAGCCTTGTTGTCCTAACAAAGCCAGTTGGAAAAGTAGGTGCCATTAACTGTGAGGTTCTGAAAACCATCCAAGGGCTTATGTCTTCTCTTTGTATGTATATTTGTATAGGCAGCACTCTGTGCTCAAATAGATGTTGGGTAAGTTATATACACTTAATAAATTATCGGGGGCACGTGGCTGGCTCAGTCAGTGGAGCATGTGACTCTTGATCTCAGGGTTGTGGGTCTGAACCCCATGTTGGGGGTTAGAAATTACTTTAAAAAGTAAAATCTTTAAAAAAAATTAATGCCTTATCTATATTTTCTCAAGCTGCATTCTTTGTATTTCTGTCTTATGGTGAAGGAGATTTGGGGCCAAATAAACTGGGAAATGGTGGATTAAACAAAAGGAGATGATAGGACCGTTTATGATAGGACTGATGGGGCCTTTGATATGTTAATGTGCATTAGGAGCACCCAAAGAAGGAATATAATAGACAACATTTCCTAAACTTACAGTTGTCTGTGGAACTTTGGCAAGGAATGTCTCATTTGGTTCTGTTGTTCTGTGGAACCCTCTGGGCAGATTTTGCATTATCCCATGGATGTGAGTGGGCACTGTCATTGGTCACGGTTTTAGGGTGCTGAAGTGTACTAAAGAGTACAGGACCGAGAATTCTCCATTCCCATAGGATGAAAAGGGAAAAGGGAGGGGAAGGAAAAAGAACATCTACAAAGATACATAGCTTCCACTTAAAAAGCTGCTTACTTACTGGTCAAGTACTACGTGTTATTCCAGCCAATTTTCCATTGTAGGGGCCTTTAGGTTCCGAATGTGGACAATTGACAGAGAAGAATAAGAAGTTTGACGAGGCCTCTGGATATCTGCCTCCTGATTGTCTCCACAGAAGGGAAGGCAGTTGGACTTTATGATGATCTGAGACCTGAGGGAGCACGAACCTCAGCAGGGGCTCTAAGAGTCCGTTTCCCGCAGAGTTTCAGAAGATCAGAATCACCCCCCACCTAAGGGAAGGGGAGAAGGCCCTGTGGCTTGCCCTATGTAATGCCTGCCTCATCTGAGGACATTGTAGGACTCTGTAGGCGCTCTGGTGTGGAGGAGAGCCCCTACCTGCAGGGGGAGCGCTGGTTTCCAGGACTGATTTGCCACTCGCCTTCACATTCCTCACTTGCTAAACAAGGGTGACAGTCACCAAACCAGTGGATTGTCGTAATGATCCACTAACAGTTTTGAAAGCATTCTGCATAGTCTTTGGCACCTACTTGGTGCTTGTGATGGGGAGCCCTTGGACAGCATGGGTGGTGTCCTAGTATCTCTGTATACCAGTGTACCTGGCATAATGCCCAGCACAAAGCTGGTGCACATGACATATTTCCTGAAGAAATCAATAGCTGAAATTGGTAGTTTCAAGTGTAAGTGGTTACCAGTTAGCACAGTGAAAGAATGTGCGTGTGTGCACGCGTGCAGATATGTGTAAGACAGAATAACTCAGTGGTGGAGTGACTTAAGCTTTAGTGGTCAAAGTATATCTGTAAAGGGAATAGGCAAAGAGAACCGTGTCTAATGCACGTCCCTGTAGATGTCACGTGAATCAAATGCTCTGCAACACTATCCAAAGTGCCGTGTTTTAAAAAGAGGGCATGCTTACAAACGCCATCACCGCCGTTTCCATAGTCACTGGGGGTTAATGGAACAGAGATGGGACCTGAGGGCCGCGCTCACTGAACTTCTCTCTGGAGCTAAGCCTCCACGTAAACAATGCACTCCACAGCGACCAGCTGCTTAACCCACGCTGTAGTGTGGGGCTTGCTGTGTTTTCTTTTCCTGTATCATTTCTTCTTTGTGGATAAAACCAGAACGAAAGGCGACAGACATAAACTGTACAAATAAAATAACCTTGAGAGGAGGCTGCTGGAGTCGAAACTTACCATCTCCCTGTTGCTATGGTTACTTCCAGCAGGTCGCCCAGTGAGAATGGCTCTGTCATCAGCAAGGAATCAGGGAAGCCCAGCTCAGGGAGGCGCTCGCCCCAGAATGTAATGGCACAGCAGAAAGTGACAAAGGAGGAGGCACGGAAGAGAAATGGTGAGAAGCCCTCCTTGCCATCACCACCCCTGGGCCCGTCCCACACACACTTACACACACGTGTGCGCCCACATTCACACAGACCCATGTGCTATAACCCTACCTTCTTCTCTCTGGTGTGCCCCAGAAGGGTCAGGAGTCTGCTAACTACCTCCTGGGGTATCGCCTCTCCCCTTTTCTGCATTATTGTGTCTCATGCCCTCTGCTCCCTGTCCTTATGGAATTGAGCAGTGCCTTAGAAAAGCCCTGTGCAGCATGAGCTGGTGTTTGCCTGGAATGTTTCTAATTCTTGGCTGAATTGACAGGATTCCTAGCCACAGGTCCACTTGGGCAGCAGATCTCTGACTTACTGCTGGTCGTGGAGATTCCTCTCATTTTCTTGCCCTCACTCCCTTGATAAGTCTTAGGGGTTCAGTCTCTGCCAGTGAATCCAGATGCCACCAATCCACCTCTCCTAGGAAAAACAGCACAGTAATAAATCCGTCATCATAAAACTCAGCCTGTGCTTCTGCCTTTATTCTCCAGGGAAACGTATCTGTTTGGTTTCTCTCTCACACAGATCTTTTCCCTCCCTATAAAGGATGTGCATTGGAGTTTATTTCAAAGTCATCAGAACACAGCCTTACTGTGTTGCTGCACTATCTATACGTTGTGTCTGTTGGACATCCTTGTGTGTCCCCTCCACCTGGCCCCATCTTTGTCCTGGCCATCGTCTCCATGCACCCCTTCCATGTTTGATGCTGGCTGACTGGAGCCCAGGTTCAACTACCTGGTGCTGCCACTCATATTAGAAGAAATTCCTTTCAGGTCTCAGTGGGTTGTTAGGTGGCATCCTACAGAAATGCCACATGAAAAGCCAAACAATCTGGCACTGGGGTTAGGCGTGCTTCCCTTTTAAAGGAATTTGATGGAGTGTGGTTCAGGGACTCTCTCTTGGAGGTAGCTCCAGAATATTCCTTTGTTTCTTTTTTCTGGCCTAAAAAAGAAAAACAAGGAATAATGTTGCACAATAGATTTGTCTTCGGCAGGGAAAATGTGGTCTCCATTCCCATTTCCAGCCATTATATAAAGCACTGGTTTAAATTGTCATACTGATTTGATTCTTGAATTTCTTCTTCTCCTGAATTCCCCATGGCCTGTAACACAGAGGCTGTGCTTTCTACACCAGAATCAGGGTCTGGCCCGGGGGTTTTCCTGGAATATCTACCCTACGTGAGACCACCAGAAATCCTACCTATCACCTCTCTGCCAAGCCAGCTCACAGAAGGCTTCCCAGAAATATATAAAGTCAAGTCAAAGTCTGTCCTCCCACACATGTCCCATCACCCACCCGGGTCCTCAGATGACCTTGAGTAACTCAGCATGTGTCTTTCTCAGACCTTCTTACTATGCATATGACAACACACACAATGTTTTTTGTTGTATTGCTTTGTTAATAAAGTGAATCAACGTACATACTGTTCTGTGCCCTTTTGCTTGCTTAAAAATGTACAACGTACAGACTCCTCTGTCAGTAAATCACATTTATAAGATGACGCCCTTCCCTCTCCCTTGCATTTAATCCACAGGGGAGGAGGGAGCAGAGCCTGTTTCAGACCCCATCACTCCCCACCCTGGCTGGGGAGATACTGACCTGCCCCAAATGTTCCTGCTGACCTTCCGTTCTTGTTTTTCCACCACTCTACCTGCCTCCTTATTGTTTAGGTCACTTTGATTATTTAAATATCAGTCTCAGAAATAAGAGCAGCCTGCATGAATGAAATCCAATTACTGTGCTATGTTGAGGTTTTAATACGTTTGTTCTATCAAAAAGCCATCCTTTCTCCAGGTTTATGGTACTTCATTGCATTTTATTTTTGTCGGAAAGAAACAGAAAGTGAGTTTTCAGGGTTGGCCGCTTCTCTTGTGCCTCAGGTTCCCATTCAGTGAGGTTCAGCTTGAAATTTTCACACAGAAATGATGGGACAGATTTGTTTAAGGTAAAATCCAGCAAATGCTGAAGCCCATCAGAATTCTGGGGTGGACCTTCCATAGAACCTGTCCTTTTCTTCATCACAGGGCTCCACATTCTCATATATCCGTGAGGTTAGAGCTCACCAAAATATCAGTAGTGTGTTTTTTTTGGAATGGAAGACAAGCCGAAGGGAGGGAGGAAGGAAAGAAAGAAGGAGGGAAGGAAGGAAGGAATTCCTGATTTATGGAAGTTAAAACCAACAGTGAAAATAAGATACAACTAGATTGGGGACAGTGACATTTATGATGATGCTGATGTGATGGTGTCTAGGGCACTTCTACAGTTTAGCTGTGGCCCTTTCCTTCAGCATTCTCCCACATTTTTTCCTTTAGGGACTAATTATGCATCAAATATTCCCACGAACCTGCTGTACTCCCACACTTTAATAAATGAATATTTAACATATTCTCTTTTTACATCAGTCTTTTGGCAGGGAGCAGGATAACTAATTATTTTTCTCATAAACCTGGAGGGGTTATTGTACACATTCCAAATCTTATTTGAGAATAAGGATGGGCAAGAACTGTAGTTTGTCCAACTTCCAGGATATCCTTTCCCCATCCCATTATAGTTATGCTCTCTCCTTACCCTGTCCACATGGGAAGTGAGGGTGTCACAACCCAGAATCAGTAAAACTGCTGTGTGCTGTCTCTTCACCCTCTGCATGGTTTAGTGATCACAGAACTTGAACTTCTACATGTTCACCTGTTTTGCAAGTACTAACAACTAACAACAATCTCCTTTCCAAAGTCAGGGAATTGTAGTCATTCATTCCTTCCTTCCTTCATTGATGCAGAAAATCCTTATTAAAAGCCAGCTATACCTGAGACACCATTAAAGGCAATAGACATCTGCCTTTTAAAGGGTAGGCAAGAATGGAGCTTATATTCTAGGGGCAGGGATGGGCAGAGGTTAAATCAGCACAAGGCAGCAGAGAGAAGTACTATGCAGAAAGTATAACATAACAAGCTGATGGGCAGGTTATTTTAGATTCATGAATAAGGAAGTTTTTTTTTCAAGCTGCAGTTGAAAAATAAGAAGGAACTAGGCATGTAAAGACCTAGGGAAAGAGCATTCTGAATGAACACCTAATACAGAATCCCAGAGGTGCAAACAAGCCTGATGTAGGCTGTTCAAGCAGGCCATTGTAGCTGGAGCAAAGTGGATAAAGGGAGAGGTAGGACATGTGCTCGGCCAGGTGGTCAGAGCCAACTCACAAAGACTCAGGGTTGTATTCTGAGAGAGATGAGGCTTTGGAGGGTTATGATCATAGGAGTCCTGTGATCTGGTTACCTTTTGAAGAGATAATCATCCTGGCTGCTGTGACTGTGTATCTTAAGTAGGACAACAAGGGTGGAAGCTCACAGGAGAGAGGTTGTTTAGGTGGATTATGTATGTATCACTGCATAACAAACTATAACAACACCTGGCAACCAAAAATGACAATCTATGTTTATTATCTCATGTAATGTCTGCAAATCAGGAATTAAGGAGTGGCTTAGTTGGGTGGTACTGGCTCAGAGTACCTCAGGAGGTCATAGTCAAGATGTTGACCTGGGTTGTAGTCATCTAAAGGCTTGACTGGGACTTCAGTCCACTTACAAGATGGCTTGCTCACATAGTTATCGGAAGGAGTCTTGGTTTCGTGCTGCGTGGGTTTCTTCATAGGGCTGTTTGAGTGTCCTTATAACATGGTAGTTGACTTTCCCCAGAGTAAGTGATCCACGAGAGAGCAAGGTGGAAGCCACAAAGGTTTTTTTGTTTTGTTTTGTTTTGTTTTTTTATGACCTAGCCTTGGAAGTAACACACTGTCATTTCTGCTATTTCCTATTGGTTACATGGATCGGTCCTATTCATCGTGACTGTGAATATCAGGAGGCTAGGGACATCTTGGGTGCCATCTTGGAGGCTGGCTGCCATAGGTGGCTTTCATAGTAGTTGTCCAGGTCTGACATAATGGTGGCCAGGCAAGAATTGACCAGCAAAACTCTACTTTAAAAGATGTATGAGTAGAGATTTTCTTCTGTCATTGGCTGTTTGGTGGCCTATTTGCAAATAAGTCCACAGAAGAAGGAAATACTCCAATTATAGCCTATTGTTAGACCATGAGGTATTTTGGCCCCATCGTAAAATAACAATTTACTCAGGTTAATTTGACAAATCTATGATTATGATAAAGTGACAATATGATACAAACTATGTTTCTGGGTAATTTAAATGACATCCCGATCTCTTGAGCAAGCAGTAGGAAAGATGAATACACTTCTATTACGTTCATATTTTATAGAACACCGATTTTGCTCCTAAATTGCCTACTGGTTTAGTTGTTTGAATAGGCTTAATTTATCTCTTGCCCAGCCGTGCTCCATAAACTGTCATTCTTAGAGTTACCTAATGGGAGTGTGCTTTAAGCACAAGTCAATCAGCAAGGTACTACTGGCCCTGGAACTTCTTCTGCCAGCTTAGTTGTGGAAGCACGAGGCAGACTGGTGTCTTTCAGCAATCAGGGCAGAATTATCTGTCAGCAGGGAGAATTACTTTAACAGAGTGTAGACAGAATTCACTCTACTTAATTAGGGAAGTTGTCTACAGTTGTGAATTAGTTTCTCTGGCAGTTCTTTCTTAGCTTTCTTTTGTTTCGACAAATGAAAAAACCCTAACCCAAATCATTGGAGAAGCAGCCTTGAGAAAGAAAAAAATAAACCAAATGTTAGCAGCAGTTCCTATGGCTGGTTGACCAGGGAAGACTTACTACCCTTACATCTTGCAAAACGGGATGGCTTTGGTGGCACAGACTGAACTGAATGCTGTTACTCTTTTGACTGTCATATTTAAGAATAGTTGCCAGGTTTGGCCAAATTGTACTTTTTTCATCTCCAACTCAAACATAGAGAAAAAAAAATTTACTTTTTTTCCCCAAAAACATTTTGTC